TGATCAAGATTAAAACAAAATATTTCCCCTTATGTGGAATGAACCTGGAATATCTGAAAGTTTCACTCTTTAAATGAAGAACTTTGCACCTGTAGTTCACACAGAGTTAATCAAAGCTTGTTGGTTCACTACTGTTTACTTTGGAAAGGAAATGCATTACAAGTTGCTGATTTTTAGGATTTCACTGTAATTAACTTGAGAAATTACTGGTCACAGGGTTTTTATTCCTAAACAAAAGGTTCTCTGATTTACGATAAACGTCTGCTGGCATGTAGGTGAGAGTTTTAACAGACCAATCAAGAGACAGAAACATCTGATGCCACCTACATTTGCATTTCCTTTCTCAGCTCAGGAAGACAGTGTCTGCTTTGTTTTCCTTCGTCGTTTTTCGTACTTGCTCTCCTGAGTGGCCACGTTACAGAAAGAAATGATTCAACACATCTATTAGACTCCGTATTCTTTTATTTATTTTCCCTGACACTACATTGCATGAGTTTGAACATTGTATCATCACGGAAAGTTTTACTTTTAGGTTTCCTGCTTTGTTGAACCTTTTTTCTGAGGAAAAAGTGATGAAGTCACAGAGCTGTTTTATTAATCTCACTTTTCACCAGAAAGACGTATTTCTGCTGAAGAGAGTGACGTGGAAACCGGAGAAGGTTCAAACCATGTGAGAGGCTTCAGTCAACTCCTGGGTGACTTTGACCCTGATGACACAGGCAGGACGGCGTCTGAGCGGCGAGTCGTCTGGGTGAGCAAACAGCTGATTCACAAAGCACAACAAGAAAAACCCACAGTGTGAGGAAATGTTCCCTTCTTATAGAAACTGAGTCACGGTGACTTGAAATCACACCCAAACACGACGTCCGCTCTGCTCACTAAGAGAAGAGAATCAGGGCCTTCAGCTTCCAGGTTAGAGGAAGATGACGCCGTGATTTCAAACCTCAGCGCGTCTCCAGGCGTCTCCAGGTGTCTCCAGGCGTCTCCAGGCGTCTCCAGGTGTCGGGGAGTTCTCCTGCTCATGTTTTAAAGGGTACAGAGCCTTTAGTGTCTCAGAGCGAGCTCTCTGAAGTCTTATTAATGTCCTGCACAACCACCCGCGACTCGTCACATATTGACGCTTGGTCAAGGCCCTCTGGCTTGTGGACGCCCCTGTAGCATCATCTTTAGATGTTTAAGGCCTTATCGTTTCAAAACATCGCCATTCTGAAAGGTTGCAGTTTGGTTTAGGCAACAAAACTACTTGGTTAATGTTCGGAAAAGATCCTGGTCGTAAGTTAACTTTTTTGTTTCACGCGTGACACAAACCCTGCTGTCCTGGTTCAAAGTCCGGGTTCTGGCCCTCCGTCCACCTCCTCACTAAACACCCTATACCTGCCTTAACTGACGCTACAGGGTTTCCCCCCCAGTGCGTGACAAACCGACGCCGCTGGGTCTCGACCACGCGTCCGTATGTGACGAGTCAAGTTTTAAGTGAACTTTTTACAGTTTGCTAAAAAGAAAATGCGAACTGAGCACGTTTCCTTCGACGGGTTTGTAGCGAATAAGAATAAACCAGGCTACGCGTGGGCGCGTTCAGTCAGCGAGCAGCGGCCATGCTTAATGCTGAAGAAGAAGAAGAGCATGTGCGGTGAAAGCTGGCTGCGTCAGAGCGTTTTCTGCTGAAGTGTGTAAAGTGTTGTCACCTCAAGCAGCAGGAAAACTTCAGTTTCTTTGAATTTTGCTGTTTGTTTTCTAATACTTTGAAAATGTAACCTTGGTGGAAACACGACTAGAGAGAAGTGAGCTTCGTGTCAAGGAAGAAGAAAGTGACCTGGCTCTCAGCCTGTTGCTCAATCAGTGTTTTCTTTGTTGTCACGCTGAATGTTTGTGCAGTCACGCGGCGGCCTGAGCGAGTCCAGACAGCGTTACAGGAGGAGTTCTTGCTCAACTGCACATTAGTTCACACGGCCAGCTCAGCCGGTGTGCACCTGCGACCTTGTTGCAGTTACACCTGATCGCAAGGTGTTCAGCTGCTGCACTCACGCCCACGTCGATCCTGATCCACACACAGATCACGCGGGAGCAGCAGGTGCGGGTGATGAAACATCAAAGCGTTTCAGGTGCATGACGGTTCATGACGCCAAACGCAAAGCATGACTGACTGTGAGAAACTTGTTAGTTTGGCAAGTGAGCGCACAGCCGTGAGCCGCCGTGCATTTATATCAGCACGCATCAGGTAAGAAAAAAACTGATGTCCACAGATTAACAACAAAATGAAACAAACTGATCAGCAGGTCGGACCAGAGGGTCCCGTGCTGCTCGGTACGAGGGAGCGCTCAGGGGTCGAGGTCTTCCCCCATCTTCCTTTAATGCGCTGTGAATACATAAAAATATACTTGAGGAAGTTTACTGAAGAGAAACGGCGCCGAAGGCCGGGTGTCACTGTGGTGTATATCCAAGGTACCAGCAGCGGCGGCCTGAGAGGGCGAAGCCTGTACGAGCTCAAGTGAAGCTTACAAAGATTTGTTACTGTGAGCTTCATGAATATTAACGAGGATGGAGCTTTGATGAAACATTAAATACTCTCAGGTATTGTTTAGTAGTTACAGTTTTTTAAAATAATATTTACTCCCCCAGAAGATTTTGAGCATAAAACTCTTAATTTCCTGAATTCTGGAGACATTTCTGCACCGATTTATGGTGGAAATGTTTTTATTTATATGAAGGGAAACACAAAATTCATGTGGCCGGTGACAAATCAGAAATGATGACATACTAATAATAATAATACTACAGTAATCAGCAGCTGATCTGTTTCTTTGCATGTTTTCCTCTTGTGCAAGAAAACCTTTTCTTCTTAAACATTTCTGCGTCCCCGGCGCGAGTGACACTGTGAGTCTGGGTATCGAACTGTGACGCTGCACGACGGGTCAGATGTTGGTGAGTTGAACGGCCGAACACGCCCCTTTTATGTGAACGCGCACCAACTCCAATTAAGTTGTAGTACCGTTTCACTCCAGAGGTCAGAGTTTGTTACCCTGAGTTAACTCCAGGTCTCTGGTCTTTGGTCTCTGTTCTCTGGTCTTTGGTCTTTGGTCTCTGGTCTTTGGTCTCTGTTCTCTGGTCTTTGGTCTTTGGTCTCTGGTCTCTGTTCTCTGGTCTTTGGTCTTTGGTCTCTGGTCTTTGGTCTCTGTTCTCTGGTCTTTGGTCTTTGGTCTCTGGTCTTTGGTCTCTGTTCTCTGGTCTTTGGTCTTTGGTCTCTGTTCTCTGGTCTTTGGTCTTTGGTCTCTGGTCTTTGGTCTCTGTTCTCTGGTCTTTGGTCTTTGGTCTCTGGTCTCTGTTCTCTGGTCTTTGGTCTTTGGTCTCTGGTCTTTGGTCTCTGTTCTCTGGTCTTTGGTCTCTGGTCTTTGGTCTCTGTTCTCTGGTCTTTGGTCTTTGGTCTCTGTTCTCTGGTCTTTGGTCTCTGTTCTCTGGTCTTTGGTCTTTGGTCTCTGGTCTTTGGTCTCTGTTCTCTGGTCTCTGGTCTCTGGTCTCTGGTCTTTGGTCTCTGGTCTCTGTTCTCTGGTCTCTGGTCTTTGGTCTCTGGTCTCTGGTCTTTGGTCTCTGTTCTCTGGTCTCTGGTCTCTGGTCTTTGGTCTCTGGTCTCGATCAGACTGTATTGATGACGTCAGTCTCCCGCTGAGGACTGTGGATCTCTTGGTATCAGGTCGGGACAGCACGAGCTTCTGCAGAGCAAAGAGGACTGATGCAGGCGGAAACGAAACCTGCCTTCACAATAAAAGCATCGCCTATGCGGGACAGTTGCGACTCTGGGAAAGCAGAGTGGTGATTTTGGTTTTTGCGCCGTAATAAATATGTAGTTAAGTAAACAGTCAGTTTTCCAAACGTCCCAGCTGTGTCTGATTAGTAAGCCTAACCCCAGCGGTCATCATGGTCAGGCCTGCTGCTCGCTGTGATGTCATATCTACTGTAGCAGGTGTAAATGCTCAGCTGCTCAGGGACCGGGGGGGGGGGGGGGGAGCTGTGCCTCATTGGAGTTCATGTCTTATTATGACGCTCCCTGTTGAATCAGACTATAATAGAAAATGTAGTAGTACTTTACAGCAGACGTGTCCACTCTCACAGTCAGCTGATTTCATCCAACAGCATCGGCGCGTTGAACCGGTTACTTTATTTTACTGAAGTCAAGCCAGCACCTCGCGCTGTTTTGCGATGCGTGTTTCTTCTAGGCATTACGGTAACACCGTGTCGCAGCACATTTCAAAATAAAAGTGAGCTTCTGCTGAATATAATGCAGTTGATGTGGCAGAAACTGTTGAATAAATAAATAAATGCTTAAGACACCACAAGTATCTAAAGGAAATATTACAGTCTCACAGAAAGCTTACTGCATTCAGCCAAGATTCAAACTCATGTAAGAAGAAAACCTTCTGTTTCCAGAACTCATTTCACTTCACAGGGACAGCAGACCACCTCAGGGACACCCTCTGTCAATATCAGAGCAATCTGATGTAGGTTTTTGAAATTACAGCCCTTGAAAATGTCTAATATTTTCACTGAATTTGCTGATTTCAAATTGACGTAAAAAGAAAACGTCCTGTTTCCACTGGCTCATTTCACTTCACAGGGACAGCAGACCACCTCAGGGAGACCCTCTCTGATATTGACAGAGGGTGTCCCTGAGGTGGTCTGCTGTCCCTGTGAAGTGAAATGAGTTCTGGAAACAGAAGGTTTTCTTCTTACATGAGTTTGAATCTTGGCTGAATGCAGTAAGCTTTCTGTGAGACTGTAATATTTCCTTTAGATACTTGTGGTGTCTTAAGCATTTATTTATTTATTCAACAGTTTCTGCCACATCATCTGCATTATGTTCAGCAGAAGCTCACTTTTATTTTGAAATGTGCTGCGACACGTTACCGTAATGCTCAGAAAGAACACGCATCGCAAAACAGCGCGAGGTGCTGGCTTGACTTCAGTTTTATTCTGAAGGCGGCGGCCGGAAGCAGGCCGTGGGCTGCGCGCGTTGACAGAGCTGCGTGGGGCCGCAGCTGCACTCGGGGTTCGTGTCGGTGCTGCTCAGTCTCCGGGACGGACGCAGGAGGAAGATGTCCCCGCTGCTGCTGCTGCTGCTCGGCCTCCTGTCCCTGATGCTGTGCGTCCTCCGCGGCAGGAAGAGGTCAGTCCGCCCTTTGTCCTCTGCGGGGACAACTGCTGCGGTACAAGTACTGAGTACTGCAGTACTCAGCGGCCGCGTTATTGATTATTGATTCAGCAGAAGATTTTTTCTCTATTAAAAGTAAAAGTAAACAGTAAAGTAAAAAACTCCATCATGAGTAAATGTCCTGCGCTCGCGACTGTTCCCAGCTGCTGGAGTCAAAGTATCAGCAGTAAAAGTACTGAGACGCAAGTACTCTGATTTTAGATAAAACGTCGTCATAATGATGGAAAATTGTGAAATTCTGAGGTTTTGTTCTGAATGGCATCAGTTCAGTGCGTCTCGTGTCCACCAGGTTCTGCGATTCATGTTTTCACTCCAGTTAGTATTTAATGATTTTAACAAATGTTCACTTCCTCCTTTATGTTTCTTTGAATTCGTCTGAAGCACAAATGAATTTTTCTTTTTCTATTAGGATATTTGTTTTGTGAGGGAGAGGGACTGAAAACAGATTTGATCATTTATGCTGTGGACATGTGGACATGTGGACCACATGTCCACATGTCCACATGTCCCCAGCACTTTTTGAAAGCATTTGTTAAAAAAAAAGTTAACTAATAAATTAAATTACTTTAAACGTAAAGAAAACATGCAAAGCAATTTAAATACAGAAGAAAAAAAGTTGTCCAAAACAGTAACGAGCTGCTGATTATTGATTTCTATCCTGATAAGTTTTTCACCTGCCAGCTGACGTTTGTTTTTCCCTTCAGATAAATAAAAACATTTCCACCATAAATCAGTGCAGAAAAGCAGGAAATAAGTGTTTAATGCTCAAAGGCTTCTGGGAGAGATATTTTAGATTCTTCAACATGTTGAGCATCGTCAGGTCTCGTCACACAAGTGTAACGTCGTGGCCCTGATCTGAGTCCTGATCTGAGTCCTGATCTGAGTCCTGATCTGAGTCCCGATCTGAGTCCCGATCTGAGTCCCGATCTGAGTCCCGATCTGAGTCCCGATCTGAGTCCCGATCCGAGTCTGAGTTTAATCAGCCTGTAACCTTGAAAGAAATAATTTGACTTTTATCCTGATAATTTCTGACATCAAACGGCGTGAAATGTTTTTGTCTGTGTATCAAATATCTGCCGAGTGCAGAAATCTTCGGTACCTGCAGCAGTTGCTTGAAGACAAATTGCTGCTGCTGAGGTCACGAAAGGAATCGACAGCAACGATAATACTGTTGTTTTCTGGAAGAACTTGCTGTAAGGACCATCACCATTTAAATTCTGTGGATTTAAAGCACTTATTGCACAGAGACCCAGTCCCAGAGACCCAGTCCCAGAGACCCAGTCCCAGAGACCCAGTCACAGAGACCCAGTCCCAGAGACCCAGTCCCAGAGACCCAGTCCCAGAGACCCAGTCCCAGAACGTGGTCTGACGTGAGTTGAAGACACTCATCACTGAGCTGACGTTGAGACTGTAAAGCGTCAGAGATCCAGTTAAAGAAAAGCAGCTTTCGGTTCCTGCGTGTTTCAGCAGCTGATCGATCAGTTAAAGGCTTCAGCTTCAGTCGCCGCCCCCCTTTGTGTTGAGTCCACCTAAAGTCCCTGTCGGAGGGAAACCTACGGGCTCCTGCGTCGTTTCAGTTTCTGAATCAGCGGTCTGGGGGTTTTAGCTGATTTCAGGTCAGCTGAGCTCTGCACAACCCGGGTGGGTTTTTCCACCCTTAATGTCTTCCAGCTGCTCCTCAAAATAAACACCCAGGAGGTTTCTGTTTTACTTCTGTCTGGGTGTTTATCTGGACTCATCAGACTGACAGCAGTGAAGAAAAAGATTCCCACAGAGCCAAAGCAGAGAAGTTCTGTTACATTAACGTGCGAGCTGGTAGTAGCGACTCTCAGTTCTGGTTTACTGAAGTAAAAGTACTTAAATCCCACTGAGAGAATACTCCACTACAAGTAAAAGTCCTGCATTCAAACCCTTACTAAAGTACTAAAGTAAAAGTATCCTCAGCAGAAGTAGAAGCACTCACAGTGCAGTAAATGTTCCCTGTCAGTGTTTTACTGTTATGAAAGATATCAAATTACACAGAACACACACGAGGTGGCTAACGGGCATGAGGGAGGTTAAGAAGAGGGACTTCCTGTAGCGTCCTTATCACTGCAGAGCTGAAGGAGTGAAGTGTGAGGAGTTATCCTTCACTCCCAGCAGCTTGTGCAGCAGCATTAATATTCCTGCTGTGTCAGTGTGGACGTTGTCTTCTACTGCTGCGTTTTGCTCTTATCTCCCGTTGGCCGGTTTAGTCTTCATTTGTAAGATCAGTGTGTTTGTAGCGACGCTGTCCTGTGAGAAGCCAACTTTTAATGAACTCACAAAAACAGCTCTGTTTCCAGCTGATCTGAGGTCACTTTTAATTAATTCAGATTAAGAAGCAGCGTAAATTCCTCACCTTAATCCTTGGAGTTAGTTAGAATGCAAGGTAGTAGCCGTAAGTAAAGCTGTAAATGTAGTGCAGTCAAAAGTACAGTATTTGCCTCTGAGATGTAGTGGAGTAGAAGTAGAAATAGAATGGAAATACTCCAGTAAAGTAAAATAACTGTCCACCGCTGGAGAAAGATCATGCTGGACACTTTATACCGTGAAGATGTGTCCGAGGGGAAACCAGCGGACACAAACAGCTTTACCCTAACTCTGCTATCTAAACATATAACGTGGTCCAGACTGAGCGCTGTTCACTTCCTGTCTGCTGCTGCCCGTCAGCATGGCGTCGTTCTCTGAACTTCACCAGGCGGGTTTAGTTTGAAGTGATTCTCAGGTACTAAAAGTTCTGAATCTCTGCAACGTGTTCCTTCACTCAGAACGGCGTCCACATAGAGCTTCTTGTTGCCAGCGACGGTCTGTTAGAGGAGTCTGTTGTGTAACAAATAGGTTAGTAACCTGATGTTAGTGAGTTTAGCGCAGCGTTGGCCATCTAACGTTAGCTTGCTTCTTGCTTTAGCTACGAGCTACCGGAGGTTAACTCAGACTGTCGTTATGAAAAGATGAATGAGCGTTTGTTTACTTGCCAAACTTGTGGTGGTCGATTAACGTAATCATTTACGTCCCCCTGGACTCTAGCTCAGAGACTTGAGACTTGACCTGAACTCTAGCTCAGAGACTTGAGACTTGACCTGGACTCTAGCTCAGAGACTTGAGACTTGACCTGAACTCTAGCTCAGAGACTTGACCTGGACTCTAGCTCAGAGACTTGTCTCAGTATCTCTGGATTTCAGAGCCAGACTTCAGCTTCCTGTTAAAACAAAGGGGTCACCAGGGGTCCCTCCTGTCATTTCAACACCAACGGAAATTATTCTTTCCCTTTAACAGCATGTTGGAGCCCAAGAGAGTCGTTGGAATCCAATATCGTAACTAAACATGAGAGAGGATTAGTGGCCCAGCTCTGGTTCCAGGTTCTTACATGTGAGCTGACCCTCTTTGAGTTTTGGGTTGCTACAGAACCAGAAGTCTGATTTACGCCATCAAAAGCGTTTTTCACTGTTTTCTGGTGTTTTATAGACCAAACAATCACCGAAACCCAGCACTTTATCATGAAAATAATCTTTAGTTAGAGAATTATTAGTTCTAGAAACAATCGGATGGTCTGGGATTATCTCACAGCAAACAGAAGGATTGATTGAGAGCTGAAAGTGATGATTAGGACCTTCTGTCGAGTGAGCAGGCGTTCAGCGCAGTTCAGTCGTGCAGCAGGGTGTGAACGCTGGCTGCACGACTGAACTCAACCTGCCGCAGCCTGGCTCAGAGGGTGGAGCCACCGCTGAGGTTACTTTTCATAATCGTTGGATGCCAAAATGAACTGAGCCGAAGTAATGTGTGTTGGATCGGAAGTGGGTCGGCGGCAGGACGTCCTCCCCTTCAGCTCTCAGGAGGAAAGTCATCATCTGATAATCACTTTGTTTTGGAAGCAGCAGGAAGCTGTTAGTCTGCATTCACAGAGGTTCATCTTCATGTGCTACACATCAGTCACCATAAAAATGTCCCTTTATTTTTACTCAAAGAAATGAAATGTGCAGCAGTGCTGCTGTGCTGGATTGCATTTGATTGTTTAGTTGTTCCTAATAAAGTGTTAATTTAAATAGATCACAGTCTGTACAAATAAAAACAATAATTAATCTCTGATTTATCACAATCAAGCAAAAATGCATCAGAAACCATGTAGAGATTTTAAGACAGATACAGATTTTGATAATGAGAATTTTAATATCCGGTAACTCGGCCGACATTCTGTTTTTCTTCTTCTTTTGAGGAACATGTAACATAAACACAGATAACACTGAGATAACATGACATCATGCAGCTTAAACAAAAACTTTGATATAATTTAGTACTTGGAGCAGTCACCCCGCTCACATCAGCTGATTGCTTTAAAGAGCTGGTTTTCTCATTTTCAGGTCCATAATCTTATTTAGAGGTTGTACCAGAGCAGGTTTCCATGGTTATATTTTTGTCAGACTGCACGTTGCTGCAGCTCCTCTTTTCACCCTGTGTTGAAGGCTTCGTTTTAGCTATGGGAGTGAGGCATCTTGTCTCTAAATGATCTTTGTTGGGAGTTGCACATGCTCAGTTCCTAGTTAAGGACTACTAGCCAATCAGAAGCAGAGAAGGGCGGGTCGGCGAGAAGCCGGTAAACAGCTCGGGTTCAGCCGTACGTGTTGCCGACCGGCTCGGCAACACGGACTGGAGCGAGAGTTTCAGAGCGGTGAGTTATTAATCTGTATCCATAAAGTTTGAACTGAGCTCTGTCTCTACATCACAGGAACAACTTTATGTCCACTGACTGCCTGGAGGGTAGCTAGTGTTTGGAAGGGAGAGGAGAGCTGTGTGCTGCAGCTCGCTGTTTCTGAGGGCGTGTCGGAGTCGCCGCTTGGCGAGCGTTATATGAGGCGCGTTTAGCTTTCACCCCTGTGACGTCACAGGGCTTTTTCACTTTGCAAACCTGTTACATGCACAAAAAAGACTCAATAAAGGAGAGGGGAAAAAGCCAAAAAGCAGAATAGCACCTCTTTAAAACAGGTGTTTTGTCACCTGGGGAGCTGCAGAGCGCCTTCTGGTGGACAAACTTTGCAACAACAGCACTCGTAACATGATTTTATCCGTCTTCGTCTCTCCGTCTCGGCTCGGACTCTACAACCAAGAAACTAAATGTCTGTTTGTAGAGGAAAGCACAGAATTGTTCTGCTCAGTGTTGACATCATTTAACACACATGGTTAAGGACACATCATGCTTTTATTTAACTGCTTCATGCTTTTATTATTATAAATGCATCACCTGGAAATCCAAGAAAGCCCCTGAAATAAACATTATGAACTTTAAACGGCGAGAGGGACGGCAGCAGGGAGAGGGATGGACGGCTGGGAGAACCAGCAGCGAGTAAGAAAAGTATAAATGAAATGTAACCTGTTAAGCTAGGAGTAGAGTCTGCTAGCTGCTAGGCTAATTTCTGCAGTGTAAAGTGGTGCAGGCTGAAGCTAATACTGGGGCAGCCTGGCTCAGAGGGTGGAGCCACCGCTGAGGTTACTTTTCATAATCGTTGGATGCCAAAATGAAATTGGATGCTCTGCACAGCCCTAGTATGACACACAAATTAGCAACATGAGCGCACATAAATCAAGCAGCACTGAGCCCCGTGGATCTGTGCTGAGCCCAGAGACGAACAGAGAAAGAAGCTGACGTTAAGTAAAATAAATAACCTTAAATCTAAATAAATAAATGTCATGTAAAGCCAACAGGATGCCAATAAAAGTGGAACATTCAGCAGCTGGCTGGTTCCGTCCAGCAGCGTCTGCAGCCAGGAAGCTTTCCAAACCCACGCTCTCCACAAAGACCTCAGTTTTCCTCTGTGCCTCTTAAAGTTGTGTCGAAACAAGTCTCTGTAATATTTTTTTTAACAAATGACAACTTTGAAGAGGAATGTAAACCGAAAACACTGTAATGACTGTGGGAATAGAAAGAGGGACGCTGGTGTCATTTTCATCAGTTCATTAACCCGCTGGCTCCGTTGGCCAGCGTCGGCGTCCGCGGCCTCGGGTTAGAGAGTGAACGGTGCTCTGTGTGCTTGTGTTTGCACAGTAGCAACAATGTAGGCAGGTAGAAAAGAGTTCTGTTCTTTCTATCCACCCACAGCAGGGTGAGAGCAGGGCGTGTCTGAGTCCACAGTAAGTCCAAAGTCCGTGAGCTGATTCCTTTACGCTGGTGAACCGAAGCAGCGCACCGAGAACGTTTGATAAAATATATAAAACAGTAACTGTAACAAAAGGCAGTTTAGAGGTGATCATGGCTTAAAGAAAAGAGTCACTCAAACAGTGTGAATCTGATTGGTGGGGGGGTGGAGCAGTGGATAAGATGCATAGCTAGTGTGAGAGACCCGGGTTCAACTCCCCACTGTGACCCACCATTGTGTCCCTGAGCAAGACACTTAACCCCTCGTTGCTGCAGAGGCGTGCGACCTCTGACATGCTGACAGCTGTAAGTCGCTTTGGATAAAAGCTAAATGAATAAATGTGATTGTGTTTTGCAGACGAGACGGCGAGCCTCCGCTGATCAAAGGCTGGATTCCTTTCGTTGGAAAGGCTCTGGAGTTCGGAAGAGATGCCCATAAGTTTCTTGAAGACCATAAGACCAAGTTTGGAGACATTTTTACAGTCCGGATAGCAGGTTGGTGTTAAACACACCCACATACCTCTGATAAAGAGCAGCACGCGGGACAAAGGCTCATCACGGTTCAAAGGTCGATGGGAATGTCAGAGCTCCCGTCCTACTAATATAATACCAGAGAGCAAAGCTTCAAAACAACATGAAATAATCCAACATTATTAAGGAGCAACAGAAACGCAGACTGTGGTTAAGCTAGTTTGTGCTGTGGGAGAACAGAGGGAGCAGCTCTGAAGCTCCGGGCAGACGTACAGTCAGGGAAGCATTTAGGGTGGAAGTTTGCAGGACGGAGCAGACGCACTTCTGAATACTGTCCTACTTTCTGAAATACTGACGCTCGTTATGAGACGCCTTCCTCACCCAGGTGCACTCTCCCTGCAGGTAAATACATGACCTTCATCATGGATCCTTTACTGTATCCAAACATCATCAAACAGGGCCGGCAGCTGGACTTCCACGAGTTCTCCAACAAGGTGGCGCCCTTCACCTTCGGCTACCCGCCCATCATCACCAGGAAGTTCCCCGGCCTGCGGGAGGAGATCGGCCGCTCCTTCCAGCTCCTCCAGGGAGACGACCTCACGGCTCTGACGGAGAGCATGATGGGTAACCTCATGCTGGTGTTTCGTCAGGACCACCTGGGTGAGGATGGCGGCTGGAAGAACGGCAGCGTGTACGAGTTCTGCAACTCGGTCATGTTCGAGGCCACCTTCCTCACCATGTACGGCAGGCCGGCGAGCACCAGGCGCCACAGCGGCATGGGCGTGCTGAGGGAGGACTTCGTCCGGTTTGACACCATGTTTCCGCTGCTTATCGCTCAGATCCCCATCTGGCTGCTGGGACAGACCAAGATGATCCGCGAGAAGCTGATCAACTTCTTCCTGCCGCACAAGATGAAGTGCTGGTCCAACACTTCACAGTTCATCAAGAGACGAGCGGAGCTGTTTGAGCAGTACGACACATTTAGAGACGTCGACAAAGCAGGTAAGAAGTTTGATCTGGTTACTGTTCAGTTTATGGACAACACAAGTCCTCAACCCAGACCAAAGACTAGGTCTGCTGTGTGCTCTGTGGTCCAGGTCTGGTTCCGTGAGGCTACCAAAGCTTCTTGGTTAAGGTTCAGAAAAGATGTTGCTCGCAGTTAAAGGACACTGACTCTGAAAGGATTGTGAGGAGGGAGGCCTCCATCCTGAAACTGACCGTTTCAGAGCAGGGGGTCTTTGGTTGACTTCAGACTCTGGCTCGCAGTGAGCACTTTAACTTGGCCTGCCGTCAACAGCAGTTTCTGTAGTAACAGTAAGAGAAAACAGACGAGTTCAGCCAAGAAAGGATCGGGTTCAGATCAGCTTTGATTGCTGGCTCAGGTTCTCTGATTGAGAAACAGCTCGTCTCTCAGGAAAACACAATTCTCCTTTCTTATAAGTTTTACTCTTGTAGTAAACAAGTTGCTTAAAGATCCAATGTTCCCATGAGTGAATTCCCTAAACTACGTTTGCTGTGTGAACTGCTTGCTGCTTCCAAGAAGCTGTACAGAGCAGATGTTTGTGAGGGCGTGTCGTTCACCTCCAGGCCACCGCAGAGCCTCCAACATGATCCAGCAGTGGATGTTTGTCTGCTTTAATGAAAAACAGATTCTTCAGCAGAAGAGCTCAGGATTTAACCCTGATGTTCTCCTGACTGCTCTGCGCACCTCAGAGGTATAACTGCAGGGTGAGAAGCGAGGGCAGGTTTGGTTATCAGTGAGGAGGTGATGAGACTCACGCAATTCACCTCTTTCACGCGCCGTCAGTCCACACGTTAATGTTCTCACGCCGTGAAATACAAACGTTTGACAGAGCGAATCCACTCCACCCAGCTGACGCCACGCAGCAACGTTACTACAGCGGGTCAGGAACGTAACGCACAGCAGAGTGAAGAGCAGGCAGACTTTAGTCTCTTAATGTTCTTCTTTTCTCTGGACCTGGCAGAGAACCCAGGTCTGTGGGAGAGATTCTGAACCTGAGCAGAAAAGCTGCTGAAACCCAGGAGCTGTTAAAGTCCAGGAGTTTCCGACTGAGTTAAAGTTAAATCATTTCTCGTTGAGGTGAAAAGGAGCCACGGTCGCATTTAAAGAGGTCACTTCCCCAAACAGAGACACGCAGAGGAGGGAAGACTGAACCAGGACCCAGGAGCTGATCTGCAGGAGAACCAGATTCTGCTGCAGTTCGGTTTTAGAGTTTGAATCCTCACCTGAATTTTGTGTTTCTCTTTCCATAAATAAAAACAGTTTCACCATAAACTGGTGCAGGAATCAAAGTGTTTAATGCTCAAAGTTTTTATACAAATCAGCCTAAAGATTTCGTGACAGTAGTGTTAAAATCTGGTCTGGTGGGTTTGGGGGTCTCGTCACTGGTTATTTGCACAGAAAAGTCTAAATATTAATAAAGTTATTAATAAAGATGAATATATTCGGTGACCACCCTGGAATCAGGGAGCAGTAACCAAATACCCACAAGCCACTGCTCTTTAAATGTACAGTAGGAGTGATTTACTCTGGGGTCAATGTAGGGGCCCCGGTCTGGGTTTAGGTGAGGTGTGGCGTCCTGAATCATGTGACCCCCCCTCCTGACTTTCAGCTCATCACTTTGCCATCCTCTGGGCGTCTGTGGGGAACACCGTCCCCGCCACCTTCTGGGCCATGTACTACCTGGTGAGTCACCCTGAGGCCCTGCAGGTCGTCCGCCAGGAGATCCACGACGTCCTGAGACTCAGCGGCGTCGAGTTCAGCAGAGACAGAGACGTGACCCTCAGCAGGGAGCAGCTGGACAAGCTTCTTTATCTGGGTACGTAGGATTTAGTAAAACGTGTTCAGTTGTTTGGAGTTTCAGGAGTTTGATGAATCAGGACGCTGACCTTCGTCCACAGAGAGCGCCATCAACGAGAGCCTCCGTCTGTCCTCGGCCTCCATGAACATCCGTGTCGCTCAGGAGGACTTCAGTCTGCGGCTGGACGGCGAGCGCTCAGTGGCCGTCAGGAAAGGAGACATCATCGCCCTCTACCCTCAGAGTATGCACATGGACCCCGAGATCTACGAGGAGCCTCAGGTACGACTGGCTGCTCCATTAACGTCCTCATTAAACGTTAGCAACTCACTTTTTCAACATTTCTCCATCCACAAGTTAAACGCAGCCTAACGGACGCGTTGTGTGTCTGATAGACAAAATGTTCTAATTCACCTCAAATGAACATTAAACGACAGAAACTATCACCGGGGACGGAAATGAACGACAGCCACCAGCTAAATGTCTGAAGGCCACGCGCCACATTGGCTGGTAAAAATAGTCGTCATATAATTAGCAGCAGATCGGCTGTGACTTTTCACAAACTGATCGTTCCGTCTTTCTGTCTGTCTGTCACCAACTTTATAAAAAATAAAATCTGCTCCATGCCTTTCAGAAAGCGCAGCGGGCCGGCAGATTGGTGCAGGGCCCCCGTGAAACAAGGCAGCGTGAAAGCTGCGAGTGTTCGGAGCCGATTACAGAAGGTGTTTTCAGCTGGTCCAGTCAGAGTCTGACCCAGGTCCAGGTCCAGGTCCAGGGTCCAGGCTGTATAAAACCTGTTGATCCCACAAAACCTGTGATGCTGTGGACCAGGACTCTGTCAGGTCCAGGACTCTGTCAGGTCCAGGAGGCCAGGAGAGGGGGAGTGTAGAAAGTGATAAAGCCTTACAAGAGTGAGCAGTGATCAGATTTCAGTTGAATGATGATTAATAAGCTTTTTGTAAGTTTATAAAACAATGTCTTATGTTTAAGAACATTTAATAGCAATAATATAATTTTTGTTTCAAATTTCACTCTGGCCTCTTTTTAAGTTTGTATTTGACATATTATCTCAATTAAAAGGAAACAAATGTCTTTGTGACACAAAAGGCAATTTATTATTTTGGCTGGTGGATTTTTTTTTAGCCAAAAAGTTCATTTCCACCTCTGACGTAACGAGCAACAAAGGAATTCAAGAAAAACATTAAAATCTTTACACACTTTAACTCTTCTTCAGACCAGACAGTGCTTCAACATAATGTTTTCTTTTTACACCAATGTATTTGTGAATCCAACATTTTCCATAGAAGATAGAGAGGTTCAAAATAATAGCCTGGTCACATTTACAATCAAGCTTATCATAAAATGTCTCTCTTTCATAAATTACTGCCGAACCAGTCGACCTCTAGAAAAAATAATATGAATCTAACCGAAAATGAAATAGAATAAATCCTGAATTGTAACCCTGACCCTGGGTCGTCATGTGTAGGCGTAGCGTGGATGTGTGTGGTGGCAGAAGAGACGGAGCTCCAGCTTCACTGGTGTTGTGCCGAGTTCGCACCTCACGAGACTTTCAGATAATTTATCACCGTTGATGAACTCAAAGAATATTTATCGTTTTAAATAGCCGCTACTTGA